CGGCGTCGGTTGCCGAGGTTGATTGCTCACGGAGGAGATTGGGTTTTTTTCTATTTCTTTTTCCTTTCAGGATTTGAAAAAGAGAAAAGAACGCACAGCAGGCTGGGACGGTGAAGCGCCACCAGCTGGCCCCACGTGGACACCTCTGAGGGGAAAGGGAGTTGGAAGCGAGCTTGGTCCAGCTGGCCTCGAGGCCTCAACTTCTGCCGGACCTGGGTCATGACTGTCACGCCGGGCCGGTGGAAGGCTTTACCTGTCCCCGGCTGGACTTGACCGCTGCCCTTCAGCGGCCGACGCTCCCCCCACCCACACACACTCCCCCGACACCTCGCTAGGCTCTGACACCCGTCTGCGACATGGATAAGTACGGCGACCTGGGCCTGGAGGCCAGTAAATTCATTGAGGACCTGAACATGTACGAGGCCTCCAAGGATGGACTCTTCCGAGTGGACAAGGGGGCAGGCAACAATCCCGAGTTTGAGGAAACACGCCGGGTGTTTGCCACCAAAATGGCCAAAATCCACCTCCAGCAGCAACAACAGCTCTTGCAGGACGAGACCCTGCCCAGGGGGAGCCGAGGCCCGGTCAACGGTGGCGGCCCCCCGGGTCCAGAGGCCCGCCGGGAAGTCGGTGTGAGCAGCAAGCTGACCGTGGATGGTGCAGCCAAGCCCCCTCTAGCTGCCTCGACAGTGGGTCCTGGGACAGCCACCTGCATGGCCCCCGGGCAACCCTTGTACCCACCCCAGGAGCAGAGGGCCAGGCCCTTTGCCCGCAGCGCGAGCCAGGGCAGCCAGGACTGTGGCTCCAAGGAGAGCCTGGCAAGCTGGGAGATGTCTGCCTTCCGCCAGGTGGGCCCCTGCGAGGATCCTTCCTGCCTCACGCACGGAGACTATTACGACAACCTCTCCTTGGCAAGCCCAAAGTGGGCTGATGAACCAGGAGTGTCCCCCAGCGTCAGGCCGGGCGCAGGGAGTGGGTGGCCTGGCACCCCAGGGACTGACACACCACTGCCCAAACCCTCCAGGGACCATCCCCTGTACCAGCCTCAGCTCTCCCCGAGCTCCAGCAAGTCATTTGAGACCGGCCAGGATGGTGGTGGTGGTGACCGTGGTGATGAGAAGCCAGCTGGGCTTTGGACTACCGCCTCCTCCCAGCGGGTGAGCCCTGGCCTCTCTTCCCCAGGCCCGGAAAACGGGGCCCTCCTGGGGCCGCCTCAGCCCAGGCCCCCCTCTTTCTTAGCACCCTTGGCCCAGAGCTGCCCCAGCCAAGGAGCTCTTCCAAGAACAAACTCGGGGGTGGGGAGTGAGGCTTCAGGCACGATGCCCAAACCCATGGTGGACCCTCAACCCTGGTTCCAAGACGGACCCAAATCTTACCTTTCTAGTTCTGCCTCATCATCCTCACCAACCAGCATGGACAGTTTGCAGCTGGGTGCGGCCCCTGGGCTGGGTCCTAAGCCAGTCTGCACAGACCCTGGCATTGGTCCCAAGCTCAGCCCCACCAGCCTTGTCCATCCAGTGATGTCCACTCCGCCTGAGTTATGTTGTAAAGGTCCCCCAGGCTGGTCGTCAGATGGCAGCCTGGGGCCTGGGCTCCCGGAGAGCCCCAGCCCCCCCAGGGTGAGGCTGCCCTGCCAGACCCTCCTCCCAGGCCCTGAGCTTGGGCCCTCAGCCGCCGAATTGAAATTAGAAGCCCTCACCCAACGTCTGGAGCGTGAAATGGATGCGCACCCGAAGGCCGATTACTTTGGTGAGTGAGAGATTGGTGGCATTGCCCACCGTGGGTGACAAGGTCCCTGCATTTGGGGGAGGTGCTCCCCATCAGGGATGCTGTAGCTCCCCTTGAGTGCCACCCCTTTTTTTTTTTTTTTTTAATGTGTGGTTTCCTCTTTTGGCTGCATCTTCAGATTCAGAAACTTGAAAGCATCCCTGAGCAGAAAGCGGATCTTGCAGCTGGGGATTACCCACATGCATGGGGGGAAGCGGGGCAGGATGGCTCATGACTGCTCTCAAAAAAGGGAAATGCTGTGACTCTGGGTTTCAGGGGTTTCGGGTGTGCCCCAGAGCCTCTCGCAGTGATTGGCTCGTGCAGGACTTGAACGGGAACAGCTTCTGGGGTCCAAGTACCCCTGTGGGTTCCATCCACTGGCGGCTGGGCCAGGCAGGTCTGGCTATCTGAGGACCAGCGGCGGGGCAGGGGCGCTCTCTCTGGCCCCGTGTGTGTGTGTGTGTGTGTGTGTGTGTGTGTGTGTGTACAGGTCCTGTGTGCAGTTGCAAGACTAACATGGAAGGCTTTGCTCTCGAGCAATAGTGGTTCTCAAAGCGTAGTCTCTGGACCAGCAGCATCCCTTCACCTGGGAACTGGCTAGAAAGCAAGCGATGTGTTGACTCTCGGGGCAATTTGAGACCTGTGGACTAGGTGTCTCCGAACTGAACTCAACCCCCACCTCGGTTCCAGCCCGAAGCCAGGTGATACCCGCAGCCCCAGCGCCCGATGGGATGGAAGAGGCTTCCTTGCTGGTGTTACTCACAGTTTCGGGGTCTTGTTTTAGTCTCTTTCTCAGACCTTGAACTCTTGGCGACTGTTGGCATCAGCTTTTTCTTTCGCTCTGCACAGGCTGCGAGAAAGCAGATGTTCTGTGGAGTCATGGTGTCGTGGTCTCATAGGAGAACTAACCAGAAAGCCTATTTTTAGAAGAGTCTGAGGGTTTTTGTCTCCCCCCCCCATTTTTGAACTCTAGAGGATTGGGGCCACGATCTCCCCCTCTGAGGCCTGAGAGCCTTGGGAAGCTGAGTCCCAGGAGGGTGCCTGCTGGGCCCCCGGAGGAGGGCAGGGCCGGGGAAGGCCTTACTGCTGTCAGCTCTCCGTGAATGACTGGCTTTGGCCCAGGTGCTTGGAGGGACGGGGTCCCGGGTGCCCACGGCAGCGCGGTGGTTTGTAGCCTCCTGAGGCCTCATGGGACCAGCCCTCACAGCACAAAGGGCACTGAGAGGTTGGGGTGACTGTTGGCTTATGTTCCAGGGCACACAGCACCATCTTACTGCTGTCTCTTTCCCTTTGCAGATTCCCTGCCCACCCCCACCCTGGGGGATAACACTTAGCTGGAAATACTGTAAACTGGTGCCTGATTTTTATTTTATTTTATTTTATTTTTAAGATTTTATTTTATTTATTTGACAGAGAGAAAGACAGCGAGAGAGGGAATACAAGCAGGGGGAGTGGGAGAGGGAGAAGCAGGCTTCCCGCCGAGCAGGGAGCCCGATGCGGGGCTTGATCCCAGGACCCTGGGATCATGACCTGAGCCAAAGGCAGATGCTTAACGACTGAGCCACCCAGGTGCCCCTGGTGCCTAATTTTTAATTCTGAGCTCATTAAACGACAAAACAGTCTTATTTTGTCAGGCAGGCAGGCTTACACACCGGATCCGGGCAGAGGTGTTCGCTAATCCTAGTCATTCAGCATGTGTTTATTGAGCACCTGCCTTGGGCGGTGCCCTGCTCAAGGCCTCAGCGTACACAATGAACAGGACAGACAGCACAGTGGAAGGAGACAGGAGGCGGACCAAATACATAATCAAGTCCTGGGGAGAGATACAGGTTGAGGAGGGGCTGGAGCCTCCGAGCCGGTGTTGGCAGGGAGGTTTCCGGTTTTAAGTCAGGGGACCAGGGAACACCCCATCAGGAAGGTGGCATTTGAGGAAAGGCCTGAAGGAGGCAGCATCTGCCCCAGGGGAGGGCGTTCTGGGTGGGCAGACAGCAGGGACAAAGGCCCTGGGGCCAGTCTGCACCAGGTCCCATGCTGGGCAATTACCTTCTACCATTTAATTTACTAGTTGCAACCACCCTGGGAAGCTGGTTCTGTCATTAGGCCTGTTTAATCGACTAGGACGATAAAGCCCCAGGGAAGTCTGATCACTTAACCGAGGCCTCCCAGGTGGTGGTGCTGGGCGTAGCTGCGAGTCGAGCCCCACAGTTCAGACGCTCTGCCCAAGCCTCTAACCAGCATCGCCATGCTGCCTCCCGAGCACAGATGCGGAAAACTGTCTTATGTCTGTATTTATTTATTTTATGACTTTGTTTTTCATTTTTAATTGAGGTGAACATCACACACCACAAAAGTAGCCATTTTAAAGTAAACAGTTCAGCGGCATTTAGTACATTCAGTGTTTTACAAACACCAAATCTAATAGTTTCAAAACATTTTGATTACCCCGAGAAGAAACCCTGTACCCCTAAAAAACAGTCACTCCCCATTCTCCCTCCCTCCCAGCCTCTGGAAACCACCCAGATGTGCTCTGTTGCTGTGGACTGACCTATTCTGGATAGTTCATGTAAGTGGACTCCTATTTTATTTTTTGCCGAAGCCTGGTATTCGTGGGTAGAAAACTCAAAAGACCACAAAAAAAAACCAAACCAAAAACCGCACAGTGAATAGTGAGTGTCCTTCCCACCTGGGCTCCTAGTCAAGTGCCCCGGGTGTAATGGATATTCGTGCTGTGTGTGTGTGTATAGTGTGTCTGTGAGTCCCCGTGCTCCATGCCGTGCACCTGCTCTTTGCCTTTCCACGAACGGGGTGTCTGGACGTCAGCGTGTGTTGAGCTGGCTCAGTGTGACCGCTGTGTGGATGTGCCCGGGGTCACGACGTAGCTGTCCCGGTGGACCTTGAGAAGGGCCCATCCGCAGGGTGCAAGCCGAGCTGTGGGAGGAACCCCCAGCGGTGGGACTGTGGGGCTGGGGCTGGCTGCCCTCTCTAGTTGCTCTCTGCAGAGCTGTGCCAGGGCCCACGCGGCCCAGCACACAGGACAGGGCCTGCCCCACAGCAGCTTTGACAGCCGGGCTTTTGTCGGCTCTCCCGTGGCCGGCCGCACCTCCCGTGGCCAGCCGTGTGGCCGAGGAGGAAGTCTCTCATCGGAGCCTCTGGCAGTCAGTCCTTGGCCTCGCCCTGCTGGGGGACCTTGGACAAACCTTCCTGTCTTCTAGGGCTCCCCACCACCCCCCGATCTGTGGTGCGAAGTGTCCGGCCCCGCTGAGGGGCTCCCCACACGGAGGCCTTCTCTTCCCTAGATCTGGTGTCCTTTGAAAGACCATGTCTGCCCAACACCTTGCATTTCTTGAATTAGGAGGAAGTTTTACTTCCAAGTAGAAGAAGGGTTCTCGCTACAGGGTCTTGGCAGCGAGAGGCAGGGTAGGGACACTGTTACTGTCAGAGCTGATGCAGGTCTAGCCAGAAGCCAAGCAAAGATGTTTGGGTTGGTTACTTAGGCCCCTTCCTGGGGCCAACAGAGGCGTCCCTGTGGGTGTTTACACTGTGGGAAGACCTCGGGCTCTTGCCTTTGAGGACACACAGGTCTGAAGACACCTCACTTTCCAGTAACCGATCTGCTCATCTCCAAGGACGCTTCTGGCACTTTCCTTGGCCGTCTTTGTGAGGTCAGTACCATGTGGTCCCAGGGGCTGCTTCTCCTCCTCTTTTTTCTCCGTTCTTCCTCTGTGGTCTCTTGGTGTCTTTCTGCCTGTGAGGACAGAGGCCAGGACAGATTCTGGATGCTGCTTGGTGAGTGCTGTTGCTTTGCCCCCCCACCATGCGGCTCCTGCTTTAACACCACTGTTTACACTGCAGAAGAAGGGAAGAGGTCACCGTGCCTTTTGTTGACTCTTTCCTGGCCTTTTCCACCACGACATCCACTGTCTTCCTCCCACGGGTTCCCTCCTCCCTTCCCAAGGAAAAAGGATACAGAGAAGCCACCTGTCACGGCCTGGGTTTCCCGGGAAGCTGACTCAGACAGTGGGGCACGCAGGGGCTTCCGAGGGGGAGCCCTTGGGAGGAGGGGAGGGACGCGGGAGCGGGCAGAGGAAGTCTCCCGCCGCAGTGCGGGCCTGACGGGCCTGGGCCCAGCCGCAGGGAGCACGGAGCTGGAGAAGCCCTTCAGAAACGTCCCCACTTGCGGGGAGCTGTCTGGGCCTTCACGCTCCCCCCTCGATCGGTCATCAGGTGTGGGCCGCCCTGGGAAGGGCCTGACCTCGGGGAAGGTGGCTGACGGGTGAGGCCACCACCTCAAAGTGGCCACCACAGCCCCCGTCCTCAGGCACATGAGACCTCTCGTACAGTGACCCTTGGGCTCCGTGACTCTGATCCTAGCGAGCGTCTGTCTAGGGCCCTTGGCGCGGTAGGCTTTGGGGATGTGCCCTGCGTTACCCTTCACAGTCAGACACCAGTAGTCTCTGTTCCCTGGGGAGAAACTGAGGCCCATGACTTGCTCAGGATCACACAGGTGTAAGCGGTGGCACTTCACACCAGTTGGGCTCTGACTGCTCCCATGGGGGGAGCTGCTGGCCTGTTGCTGTTTGTCCCTCCAGATTCCCTCTGCACACAGCTGCTGCGGGGGGCATCGGTGGGCTCTGAGCCTGGAGGACCTGTGCCTTCCCTCCGGGCCGGGGGTCTGGGGATCTGTCACTGCGAACGCCACCAAGGAGAGCACCACACTCTGCCCTGGAGTGGAGGAGGCTCTGCCGGACTTGGTCAGGCATGTGGGTGGGGGGGTAGAAGAGTTTGGTTGCGGGGTCTCCCTCACCCAGCGAGTGAATGGGCGGGCTCCTCCCTATCCTGCACAGAGAGAGGAGAGGCTGTTTCTGTCCTTGGTTTTCCTGTTTCCCCGTGGACCTTCCGGATGCAGCGGCAGACCCGCCTTTGCCTGGGAGCCTGTAAACAGGTGTGAGTCCTCCCCCCGCCGGGGTCCGGGGAGCCCGTCA